TGACACTTATCATATCTATCCTTAAAATTATACATGATTTTAGTATTTACCGTTTCCTCACAAAGCGAAATCCAATGATAAAATATTCTTACACTAAAAAATTATATCCTTATATCATTCATGCAAAGGTTTCTTGCGAAGCTTCAAACTATGAACTCGAGTCTTAGAGCCATCTATATAAAAATATCGCTCCCTATCCACTCTGATGCCTCATTGTAGAATACCCTTGCCTATCTACCTTGTGGGTGACCCAAGCAGGGTGGAAGGGGGGGAGACGTGGCAACCCTCTATCCCCAAGGAGCTGAGAGGAGTGTTGAGGTGTGTATGTGGATCGTGGTGAATGCGCGTTTCTTGGCTCGGCCATCCCCCTTACAAGGGGGAATGAGGCTTATGTCTATGTATCCACTCTGTCATAACCACGAAGGGATTTAAATATTGTTACCATATCCCTCCCTCATCTTCTAGTTTCAAGTGATGTGTGTGTGTGTGTGTGTGTGTGTGTGTGTGTGTGTGTGTGTGTGTGTGTGTGTGTGTGTGTGTGTGTGTGTGTGTGTGTGTAAATGAAGGCCAACTCACTTGATCGTTGATTTGCAACTCTTACCTTGCAATATTAAATTTTTACATTCAGGATGTAAAAAATTTTGAAATATCTTGTAAAAATCTAACTTTTTACTAAAAACGTAAATACAGCTTAATTCAAGAGTTAAATATATCCTTAATTAAAAGTATTAATTTTTTTTTACCATTATTTGACCGAAGTTATTTTTTTTTGCAAACCTGATGACCTTATGTTATTCTGTGATCAATAATCTCTCTCTCCTCTCTCTCTCTCTCCTCTCTCTCTCTCTCTCTCTCTCTCTCTCTCTCTCTCTCTCTTTGCATAAATGGACACTGCAGCCAATATCCTACAACAGACCTTCATGTTAATATCTGGCACAGTGCCAATATGAATCTTATTTGGGCAGTAAAAGTTTATAGTATGTTTATATTATGCATTTCAAAAGCAGCTATCTAATCAGCTCCTGTGCATTGGATAAAAGTCACTGAAAGTTTTGTATCTTTCAGGAAAACATGACATTAATTAAGAAAAAGCAGCTTCTTTGCCTTAAGAATAAGTATATTATTTTTTACAGACCCAAAAGGATTTCCCCTCTTTTGTTTTTCTCACCATTGTTTCCTATGTTTATAGAGGGTCGCTGTTTCCCACCAGCCTCTTGAGTAGCATTGCTTTTCTCTCAAATTTATGGACTAGAAATCTCCACTCATCGGGAATTGGGACCGTCACTCAGTATATAGAGCGTTCACCAGTGGATGAGATGAGTCAAGGTGGAATGGAATTTGCAAAAAACTGATCTAAAATGCCTATTTCGGAGCATTCATTTATGTAAAGCTGCTCACAGTGGTTTTTACAAGTTAGAATATACTTATTTTTGCAAAAAAAATAAAATATTTACAAATCAACACCAAATTTAAACCTTGGAGAGTGCGATATTTCCTAGTTCAGCAGTTAATGAATAAAATATGAATATACTATGGCTCCCTTATTTCACTGCCTAGTCTTCTATATTATCATTTTAGTTCCCCAGATACAGGTTGCAACATCATTTATCTATCTATCTATCTATCTATCTGTCTGTCTGTCTGTCTGTCTATCTATAGAGCAGAGAAGAATATCTGCAGTCATAAAATATTCGCACAATGTCCTCTTCCTTTTGATCTCTTTTCATCTCTGGTTTTATTCTCTAAGTGCCCTAGAGATATAACTCTCTCTCTCTCTCTCTCTCTCTCTCTCTCTCTCTCTCTCTCTCTCTCTCTCTCTCTCTCTCTCTCTCATTTTTACTTAATGATGACAACCTTGATGTTATAAAATAAATAAAATAATCTCTCTCTCTCTCTCTCTCTCTCTCTCTCTCTCAAGCAGCGTTCATTAAAATCTGCAGTCATGAAATATTCGTGCTGCGCCTTCCTTATTTTGGTATCTCTTCATCTCTAAGTTTTATTCTTCTAGTTTCCTAGAGATAGCTCAAAACTCTCTCTCTCTCTCTCTCTCTCTCTCTCTCTCTCTCTCTCTCTCTCTCTCTCTCTCTTTCTCTCTCTCTCTCACGTGCCACATCTTCAACCCAAACGGACACATTCAAGGTCATACTAAGGGCTTCAGTGAGAAAATAACTTCACTTACTCAAGATTGTTAATATCGGGAATATTCACTGAGAAAGAGAGACTTAATAATATCACTTTAAAAATATAATAACCAAAACAAATAAATACAAAGAGAGAGAGAGAGAGAGAGAGAGAGAGAGAGAGAGAGAGAGAGAGAGAGAGAGAGAGAGAGAGAGAGAGAGAGAGAGAGAGTTTTATTAATATTTAATAGCCTTCAACAGGCAGCTGCACAGGTGATCACACACACGCACACACACACACACACACACACACAATTATATCAATTCTGAACATAATTCTTCTCCTTGCCGATAAACTGACAGGTATCCCAAACATACACTATAAAAGAACAAGTCGATAAAGGCAGAAATAACCAAGATATAAAAAGTAAGATAATAATAGAATTTTATGATTATTTATGAGTAAGAGACTAATAATATCCATATATGTGCTACCAAACATTTTGTATGTATGTTTCGTACACCTGCTGTAAGATGAGCATATCATCCAGGTATGTTTCATACAGGTGATGTAGTATATATAAATACATCGTTAAAGAATGTATGTATGTACTGACAGAGGAACATGAATATATATATATATATATATATATATATATATATATATATATATATATATATATATATATATATATATATATGCATAGTTGTATGCATGCGTTCACATAGATGTATATGGATGCATGTATGTTTGTATGGTACATGCGTTACAGCAATAGAGCCGAGAGGAAGGATGTGTTGCTAGTTTAACCTTGTCCCACTTGTTCACCTCTGGACAAATTTCCCTTAGGAACAACGCCTCATAAGCAGGTATTCAGAACTGGTTACGTTTGTCGTTATGATTATATTAGTTATTATTATTATTATTATTATTATTATTATTATTATTATTATTATTATTATCATTATTATTATTATTATTATTTATTTGTAGTAGTAGTAGTAGTAGTAGTAGTAGTAGTAGTAGTAGTAGTAGTAGTTTATTATTATTATTATTATTATTATTATTATTATTATTATTATTATTTATTTGTAGTAGTAGTAGTAGTAGTAGTAGTAGTAGTAGTAGTAGTAGAAGCAGTAGTATCATTCACATTGCTATTACCAAGTATTTTACCTCCAATTATTGGAGTGGTCCGAACCTGGGGCCTCTAGAGCAGGAGTCCACAGCTTAGTGTGTTGAGCCATAGAGGCCTTTAAAAGAGAGAATTGGAACAGTTACTGAAGTCTCAGATTTAGAGGTTATTACTGCGCATTTCTGAGGGCCGCGGTAGTTGAGTGGTAGAGCACGAGTCGGAAAGCGAGACTACCCCAAGTTCGATCCCACTGAGAGACTTTGGAAAGGACATTCAGCTATAATTCCCCAGCTTTAACATGGCTGTGTCTGCCCCCACTCGAAAGGGGGCTAATTGTAACACAGAAAACGATGCATATATACTACTGCTCCTTTCAACACTGAAATTTTGGCCCGATTTCTTAGACAGTGTAGACCTAGGATACCATATTGTTAGTTAGCTAGACACACACAAATGGATTTCATATGCGCATCTGACGCGGTTCCATGTATGGCTAGGATCCCGGATTTCATAAACGCATCTGACGCGGTTCTGTGTATGGCTAGGATCCCGTACGGGATCCTAGCCATGCACAGAACCGCTTATGAAATCCATTTGTGTGTGTCTAGCTAACTAACAATATGGTAACCTAGGTTTACACTATTTAAGAAATCGGACCTTTACCTCTCTCACGACCCGCCAGTGTCCAGCACAAATTTGATTCTCCTCTTTACTATAAACAGAGGTTGACAGAACATATATTAAAATGCAATTATGAATATTAATATTGTCAATTATTTTACCTCCTACTGTCGAGATCTGACAGTATAGGAGGTAAAATATTTAGAAATATTTAAATGCGTAATGGCAGTGCAATGTTTTATTATTATTATTATTATTATTATTATTATTATTATTATTATTATTATTATTATTATTATTATTATTATTATTATTATTATTATTATTATTATTATTATTATTATTATTATAATTATCTAGAATTAGTGAATTGAAAAATCATGTAAACTAAATTTCACAGTGTTGTTTACACAGATAAGTTGGTTAAAAAGAGTAAATTGACAATGGAAGTAATTTTAAGACTACATTTTTTCAAGTGAATGCTTCGGAACTTGTATTTTCGCCCTTCTCGAAACCTGTGCTACTTTTGAAACCATTCAAATTATGGATTGATTTCTTTTTAATTTTTACATGACAATCGCATACAAAAGAAAATACCTAATACTAGGGAGGGAGAGAGAGAGAGAGAGAGAGAGAGAGAGAGAGAGAGAGAGAGAGAGAGAGAGAGAGAGAGAGAGAGAGAGAGAGAGAGAGACGCGCACTTACCACATAATATACCAATCACTCATGCTTACAATCACGAAATTTTACACAGGAACCGAGGAATGGAAATTTCTGCTCATTTCGTCAACATGAGCTATTGAAGATACTGTTCTACTATGGCTCCAAACAAGTGTAGTATACTCAGTAATCATTCTGAGCTGACGGGGGCGATCTCAACAAGGAAGCCAATACCCTCTTTTTCTTATCCCTAAGAGGATCTTGTGAAAAAAGTATTCGGGCCACCGTGAAGAGTTGGCTTTTAGTTCCTGTTAGGCTATTTTGAGGATCCTATAAACCACATGTGATCAGTTTTACGTCATGGACTCCCTTTTATGTTAAGGGCTGGGACGGTGCCTCTTGCAAAGAACTTTGGTTTTGGCAAGTGTGACCGCTACCCTGAGTGAATGCCCTTTTTAACCTCAGACCATGGTGGGCCTCGAACCCACAACATAACGAATGAAAATCGCGAGCGTTACTACTCGGCCACGGCGGCCATATCCTATATACCACATACAAACCAAATTAATTACAAAGGAAGGTTTGGAATATAAATAAAAAAAAATATGAATTAGTTAATTAGTACAATAAATAAAAATAATTTCATAGGTAAATATATATACTGTAAACAAAATTATACATATGGATACATATAAAATAAATAAATAAAAAATACATAAATAAATATACTTTATACATGGTTAGTCATTCCACTACCAACCTCACCACCCTCCGTTAGCTCGGTCAGAGCCCAGACAATACCCAGGAGGCCCCGACTTCAAATCTCTAATCGGCTCATACAGTTTCTCTTCACCATAGCCACATGGGACGCCCTTGTATCAAAGCCCTTGACAACTCAGCAGCCTCATGGAGTACACGTTAGCTGGTTGGGATCAAATGCGGAATAATAACATTATGGCAAGTGGTAGCGACTGGGGCTGGTAATATACTGGCCCCAGGTTCGAACCTGCCCCGTTGCTGGATTAGCTTTCACTATTTTATGTAGTTACAAATTAAAGTGGGCAATTAATTGAGGGGTTGCTGATTTCCTACAAGTCTACATGATTATTCAGATATTGCCTGGAGATCACAGGGACCACGTGACTGGAGGAGGGGGCTTCGGTATATAGTCGGGCTCTAGTGCTATCGCTGTCCCTTGCTTCTGCTTTCTATTGAATACTTTTAACCATTGGTGTGTTTACAAGTTGAGTTTTGATAAGGGTTATAAATACGTCCAGAAGACCTTGTGATAGAAGTAACATTTAATTCCTAATTAATTGGTCAGGTGAAATTAATATTGTAATTAATCCATTCCAGCGTCCACTAGTAAGGATTATCTATTCCTCAGCATTAACAGCTAATCCCTCTTGCAACAAGATTCCAATTAAATATTGATTTATGCTTGCTATAGATCAACCCAACTTACCATATCTGCTCTAAATAAGGCTAAGTAATGATTGTAAGTCTGTATGTCTGAATGTTTTGATCCGGACTTGCCATTTTGTATTTTTCCTAATCTCTCAACTCTCACGGGCATTAGACCAGCACCGCGCTGAGCTAGCTTGTTCAGCCAATGGCAGGATTACTATAGCAATACCGTTCATGGAGCTATTATGCGGGAAAGAGCTCCAAGCTCGTAACTCCCCGTCCTCTGATCGGTTCCATAGTTATACTTAACGATACTTCTCATGTTCGTTCTTAAAAGTACGAACGGAGTTAACTACTTTCTCGAGTAGCGAATTCCAGTCATCAACTATTCTTACACTAAAAATAAGTATATTCCTCATTTCCTGTAAAGAAATTTTCTACGAAGCTTCAAACTATGACTATTAGTTTTAAAGTGTGTGTGTGCGAATATATATATATATATATATATATATATATATATATATATATATATATATATATATATATATATATATATATATATATATATATATATATATATATATATATATATATATATATTACATATGTGAAAACATGAATAATTTTTTACCCCGACCGGGACTTGAACCTAGGACTTATAATTACTAAGTCAAGACGCTACCAACTACACCACAGAAGGTTAAAAGGAATCTAACCTTATAGCTTACATTTGTAATGTGCTTACTTGGTTAATGTATAGCCCGAATGAGATTGGGAATTGAATTAAATGCGAAAATGAAGCCACGAGTGAGGTTGGGGAATCTGTAATATGAACATCAGTGGCATTCAGATAGAATGCGCTCATTCCTAAGTATAGAAGATGTAAGCTATAAGGTTAGATTCCTTTTAACCTTCAGTGGTGTAGTTGATAGCGCCTTGACTTAGTTATTATAAGTCCTAGGTTCAAGTCCCGGTCGGGGTAAAAAAAATTCATGTTTTCACATATGTAATGAAGCCACGAGTGAGATTGGGGAATCTGTAATATGAACATAGTGACATTCAGACAGAATGCGTTCATTCCTACGTATAGCAGATGTAAGCTATAAGGTTAGATTCCTTTTAACCTTCTGTGGCGTAGTTGGTTGCGCCTTGACTTAGTAATTATATGTCCTAGGTTCAAGTCCCGGTCGGGGTAAAAAAAATTATTCATATAATATATATATATATAATATATATATATATATATATATATATATATATATATATATATATATATATATATATATATATATATATATATATATATATATATATATATATATATATATATATATATATATATATATATATATATATATATATATTATATATATATATATATATATATATATATATATATATATATATATATATATATATATATATATATATATAATATATATACAGTATATAGATAGATAGATAGATAGAGAGCTGGATGCCCTTCCTAACGCGCTACCAGGGTCCCCTTATTTTCTTTATTGCATAATTTCGTGCATGCAAACCATAAACATATT